AGGCAAATTACATTAGTGTGTCAAATTAGAGGGGCGTCTGGTATATCCAGCTGAGATAGAAGCAAAGATCCTGAGAGAGAGAGTGGGAAGTGGCATAAGATGAATGCAAAAGACAGGGACAAAGACATTGTGTGTGAAAGTGCAAGATGCAGAGGAGGGAGGATGAGGAGAAAGGGATAAGCAGCCTGCTAAAAATACTTACCCACCCTGTAAGTTTTTTTTTCTATTGGCACAGACAATGCATGCTGAAATAAAGCTGAGAGCTTGTTACTGTTATTTCATTATTCTGTGTATTTTGTGCACAGCAGTGTGTCCCAGGAGGGAATAGGCTTGAGTGAGTTGCTGGCTACTAGAAAAGTACAAAAGTGCACAATCGACCCACTGAGAGCAAATTAAAGAAAACAACATTAAAATTATATTAGTAAGCATCTCTAATGCAATCAAAACATAAGAGCTGTCTGAGTCCATTATCTGAAATTATAAACTTGATGGTTATTTGACCAATTGGTGGAGTTGTGTACTGTTAAAGCGTTGTGATAAGCAGGTCTGCGTTTGTTCATATGGACAAACATTAAGCAAGGTAGCAATTTTTGCATGCTTAATTGCAGAAATTAAATATGCAAACACATACTGGCAGTTGGCAGCAATGATGTTCTGCAAAAGAGAAGAAGAAGACAGTCTCAAGTTGTGGCCAACGATGTACAAGATCTGGTCACAAAGAAGTAAACATACAGTAAATAAAAGGAGCCTGTGAATGTTTTTTTTAATTTTGGGAAATGTATGCAAATTGTTTGTTAGGCTTTCAGCATGCACACAGTTCACTGCGGTGAGAAATGGTGAATGTAACAAATTTAGTTTGTTTATAATTTAAATACCACTGGGTACATTTAATTTTCAGTCTGAAAGTGCTCCACACAATCCTGAGGGTTTCATCATCACGCTGACAGCATCTTAGAGCCACAACACACATCAAACATGCTCTGCTCAGTCTTGAAACCATCTGAATTACAGGTTTGAGTTTGTGTTGGCTTCAAGATATAGAAGTTTGGAAACACTTTCTCATTTAATTCAATGGGAAAGTGTGTCCAAACTTTTGCCTGCTGATGTTATCCATGGAAGTATTTATTGTCAGTGCCTAGTTTTTATAGTTTGTTGTGAAACAAGTGAATAAATTTAATCTGCTGACAACATTTGTAGGTGGTTAAACACCCTGTTGGTTAGTGATGTACTGTAACACTCTTCTTGAGTCCTAAACATGATACAAAAAAGTTTTTAGATATCTTGTGACCTGGATGACTGAGAATATGCCTACTGTGGTTTGTGCAAGAATGCAAAAAGACAATCCAATATCCTCTCCTGTATCAAATCTAAACAGACACAGAATCAGGTAACTGCAACAACAGCCTGTTGTGCAGAATCACATCCTTGCAACCCAACCACTCATCACAGAATGGCTCTGACATCGATTAGCAGGAACCAGAATATAACCTTTCTGACGCTTGTTTACCAAACACCGGGCATGAAGGACACTGCACTGGTGTAGTTAACACAGCAGATTCTGCTGTAAAATTTAAATGAGAGACTCTCGAGTGATATTCATGAAACAATGAAGAGAAAGTCTGCTACAGGTGCATCTCCTGAAAAGAGATAATGTATTATTAATTGGAATACAGCAGGTCAGCAAGGTGTTGGACCTGGACATGGATGAACATGGTGTCCTACCATGTCAGATCACATGTACTGTGTACTGTCATGTGCTGTATAAAGCATTTCATGTAAACAGCTGAGGAAGTAAATGATAAAAATAAATGGTCGCTACAAAATAACACATTGAGTAGTAAAGTGGATCCGGTATTTGCCCTGCTTGACCTTGCCTGAACACCACTGACAGCAGAGAGAAACACAGCTGCACTGTGGATTCACTGGCGTCTGCCAGTGTGTACTGCACAACATGGAGGAAGGAGAGCTTTGAACTGCCTCTGGGGAACGGCAGCCTTTGGTTGAGATGCTGTATGCAGAGGTCAAGATAAAAATCCAGGAACAGCAAATCTTCAGGGAGAAGGTTAACTTAGTGCACAGCACCACGAATAACATGATCATTCCATTAATGGCATACACCAGAGGATTTTGAGAAGCATAGCATTCATGAAAACACACTAAGACAGATACATACACAGACAAAAAGACAGATGGTTTGGAAGAGCAGTGAGGTATGTTCTATATATGCATCCACATAGAATGGTTTATATGTGAATAATATTTTCAACAGGGTGAAAACGGGTTCACAAGGACAGGGTCCTTATGATGTATGTACTGTTTATATGTTTTGTGCATATTTTCTCCAACAATTTGAGTTTGTTCAATGGAATAAATGGTTTTATACTTGTACAGTGCTTTTCTATGCATTGCAGCACACTCAAAGCGCTTTCACACTATTTCCCATTCACCCATTCGTACTTCCAAGTACTCACACCGGTGATATCACCAGGAGCAACTGGAGGTTCAATGTCTTACTCAAGGACACTTTGCATGTGGACTGAATAAGCCAGGAATCTAACCTCCAGCCTTCCAGTTAGGAGACAACCTGCTTTATCTCTTGAGCCAGAGCCACCCCCATATAATGTAATTGGGTTTATAATGATATCTGTGTATTATTTGTCCTACTGTATGTTGTCTGTTTATGGTCAGGAAAAACATTCATTCTTGTGGGTAAATGCTTTAAAGGGATTACTGTTTGGTTCACATTGTTCCTAACAAGCACTAATATTATGTACTAATTGAATTATAGGGTTTTTACATCCATAGTCAAACTAGCTATTTACAATAATATCTCAATATCACAAAGCACAACTTAACCCAAAAGAGCTTTAGAATCTGTACGACTCTCTCTATCCTTAAACCCTTAAATCAGTTAAGAAGAAGAAGAAGAAAAAAAACTTTTAACGGGGGAAGAAACCCCTGAAAGAGCAACAGAGGAGGGTTTCCTGTTCCATGAAACACAGACATACAATATGTATAAACATGGTGCATATGATCTGGGAAGATGTTGAGCAACTTCCAGGTGCCACCAACAAATATCTGAGCCACATGACCTCATTTGCCCACAGACACCTAGAATGAGGAAAGACTAAACAAAAAAACAGGAGGCAAACCTCAAGCACATCATTCACACATGTACAGTAGGAGAGGGAAACATTACACAGATGAAGAAAGAGAAAAGGACAACATGCACACAAGAGAGAGCGAGACTGAAGAGACTGGAACTTTTGGAGGACAAAGATCTGGAATGAGGCACAAACAGCCAGGGGAGAAAAAAGGGCCCCAGGAAGACACAGAGATGGTCCAGCACAGACGTAAAGCTCACAGAGTGAGGTGGAAATATTTTCCAAATTGATAAAATTTAGATGTGATGCAATTAAATCATTTCTAAGCACATGTTTGTTTTGTTTTTTTACCTAGTGTGAAGCAAACAGAACACTAGAGAACAACACACTCTGACAATTAAGCCCAATTTATTATGCCAGGAATGAGTGCAAAAGAGGAACAATGGGCTTCACTAGGAAAGTAAGGTTTGAAATTTACTACATAAAATACCAGGAGGTCTATAAAAACACTTGAAACAATTTTACATAATAAAACAGGGAGAGTGTGGTCTGATAAAATGGGGGATTAATAGAACATAATTCAACTTAAGAGCCCAACTGTTTGCAGGGGTGAGGACTATGACTGCATGGCTGCCACCTGACAGAAGTAATAGTCATTCAAGATAACAGAACTGAGATCAAATAAAAATGTAATCAGATTGACTGTTTTTGCATTAAAAAGCAGCCTAAAAACATTTTCTGTGCTTCCTCATGCAAAAGATGTTGTTACGGTAGCATGTTTATATCATTAAGAATATTTTAAGGCACATTTTTAGAAACTGGACTTTCTGCATTATATTTAATCTTCTCACCAGTACACAACATTATCTGAAGTCCCCCCCCCCTTATATACAGTCCTATTTTTAGTCTGACTTTAGTCTAATGTGTGATATGTGTTAGCAAGCACCTGGCCTGCTGAATGTACTTGAATGATACTACGTCATGAGAGAATTTCCATATGGAGATCAGTAACAAATCACACATTATGCATTATCACATTAGGAAGCTGCTTGAGCTGCTGGTGAAGAGCTGTGACAGTCAGGGGGAACTCTCTTGAGGAACCATCTGTGACTGTGTCATACCTTTGTGCTTTTATTCCTGTTCATATCCACTGTGCTATACCAAGACTTAAAGTAGTAACTATGATGTGAACCTTTAGTTCATTTACACTGTAGATGAAACAAACACCACTTCTGCTAACTTTGTCTGTATTCGCACCCTTAGAGATGTGCTCTGTGTGTCAAGTGATGCTTCACTGTTAAGTACTCTAGTTGATCCTTGGTCAGATCATCACTGATTATCATTAGACTTTTGGTTAGTTTTTTCACTGTGAGGTCGAGAGTTTGCGACTTTAATTTAAAATCAATTTCAAGTAATAGCTTAGTGCTAAAAGTTCATTTAGCCAGACGAGTAATGCGGTGCCTTATCTGATGGACTGCACTCAGATAAAAATGTCTGAGCTTAGATATATTTAAATGCAATAAATAGAGTTTTTCAAAATGCCCTAAGCATATCTTCTAACCTAGTTGCGATGCATTTTATACAGTTATTTTTATTTCAATTAACAAAAGTGGGGAGGGCAAAGCAATGCAACATTTCATGCAATAAAACTATTCATAGCCTGTCCAGAAAACAAAGATGGGCACATGTAGCTGTACTCGAGTAGCATGGGAGTCCCACATAAACAGACTTGACTTGCAATACAATACTGGCAATACAGACTTCTTGCTCATGGTTATTTACTAAACTGAAAACCTGTTAGTGTGCACACCAGCTGTCAAATGATGCAGTGTTGATAATGTTACTGATTACATGTATATGCTACAATATCACAGGGTTGATAAAGCTAAGAAATATAAAGGTTTTGCACTCTGCGTGCAGTTTGCCTTGGAAGGGCACAATATCAGTAGATTTAGATTCAGTTTCCATATTTATCTCCAGGTTCATAGAATTCAACATGGGAAAAGTTTGATGGTCTGTGGGAGCTCAGTGGAACACAGTCTTAACCCACTATAAACCTTTATTAGTTAATACACTGGATATAATGCTCATTAACTTGAAAACATTAAAGACTTGAGACTTGATTTAGACTCCAATTTAAAGACTTGAGATGTGACTCAGACTCTTCACCCAAAGACTTTGCACTTGAATCAGACTCTAAATACTTCACATTTGACTCACACATACTTTGTGTGACACATGAACATCTCCGTGAATCAGCCACTGTAGATTTTTACATGTGCAGTCGAGCCTAAACTTTTTTAGGCTACATTAGCCACCACTATCAGTACACACCAGAATCTCCCACTGAACTCCAGCAGTTGAGTTGCATTTTGGGTAATGTACTATAGATCCTGTGTTTTGGCAAAGAAGGAGAAGATGCCAAAAACTGTGCCTTGTGAGCCACACATACTCTTTTAATGCTTTTAATGTTGTAAAGGCCATCAGCTCAATAACAAAATGCAAATCATAATACCTGCATGTTCCAATAGACTGGTTTAAGTTCACTTAGGTAATATTTTATTTTTCAAAACTAGACTTTATACTTGATTTTTATATGGGGTACAAGAAGGAGTTACAGTTAAACATAAAACACTCAAGAGGAAATAAAAGAGGAGCAAACAAATAGAATTTATAATTATCATTTATAGTTCATAGTCATTTTTCCTCATACTCATTCCAAGTACAGGTCTCTGGAAAGGAGAGCTGACTGACAGAATGACAGAACAAACACAGAACAGTTGGAATGGAGACGTATCTGAGCTATTCTCCTCAGGTTTTGCATCAGCCCAAGCACATCGGACAATCTTATAATACCACTTGGAAATACACACAGCAAGTTAATTTATCATAATTATCATCATTATTCACCATCAGTGCTCATATTCTTGGTCTTCATTCTCACTCATCTAAGTCAGGACTGAAGAGGAAGGCAGTGATTCTACCAGTATCCTTAAAAAATCCATGCACCTCTGCTATCAGTGCCTTATGGAGTTTCTGGGAACAGTTAGGCTACTGTTGGTCCAGGATCATCTATCTCAGGTTGGCATTTGTATAAAAACTATTTAGGAACACATGTAAAAACAGGGGAGAATCAAATTATTATTCAACTGAAAAAATGCAGATGTCCTCATAAAATCCTCTATGACTAGCAACACTTAATAACACTTATGTCTTCTTTTTGTCCTTTTATAGTTTTATTCCAAAATGGTTGAGGAGCAGTTATAGTTTGCATCATCTATACAACAGGCTATAAAACACCACTTTGTCACAGTCCAGAAAGCACATATAGATGTACTGTATATAAACATATGTACTGTTATAAGATAATTTTGCGTGCATGGCTCCCGAATGATCACTTTCGAGACATCCTCAGGATTCAGAGGAAACCTTCTGTTGAATTCACATGATGTGAAAACAAAGGCCTCCAGATTTCGTACTGGCACAATGGACATAATCTTCTTTTAATCGTCCTTCAAGAGAAACAGCCGCCCACTGTCATCTTCACACTGCGGGGGCTCAGTTAGCCAAGTATTAGTCTGTGCCGACTATCAGTCACTCTCTGGTCAGGACCTTGGCTGATTCCACCAACATCCATCAGGGATTTATTTTTTCTCTTTGAATTCATCATCACCAGCTTTTCTTTACTTTTCATCCACGGTAAATGTTTGATGTGTTTATGTATGTATTTATTTATGCATTGTGTCATTTTTTTCTAGGAAGAAAGTCTCAACAACACAAACACAGGCAATGGAATGAAAAGATGGTAATTTGTGCTCCTCTGTTTACCAGAAACAAGGGAGTTAGATCATATTATCCTGGTCGAGGAAACAAGTCACAGATGGGTTATGCTGTTTGGTTGACATGTTAGATATGCAATCAGTTCAATTGTAATTGGTCACCAGAGCCATTTTCATGTCAGTCTTTTTCTGGAGTGTATATTTTTTTTGTCTCAAGTCTAAAGTTATTTTTCATTTTTCATATTTACTTTTCAGAGCATTGTCTTATAGGAAAAAAAACTGACTAAATAATGTTCATTTTTGTTATTATACTGTACACGTGTTGAGGTCCTGATTTGTGTTTTTGATAAATGTTTCAATTGGTCTGGCAAAGACCAAAGCTGTGACAATCACACGTAATACTCCTTGTCCTTGTTCTTCTTGTTCTTGCTTGAGGTCTTTGCGGTGTTGACTGGTTTCTCTTTGACTATGGTGCCGTTGGACTGCGCCGAGTTGCTGATGTAGTTGCGACTCTCGTCTACATGGTATGAACCTTCGTCTCTGTTCCGGTATTTGTACATTGCATACAGCAGGATGAGAATACACAGTGCTGCTGCTGCTACAATGCCGACCACCATCCCTGTTGTGCTGCTGGACTCCCTGAAGACCTCCGATGTGCCTGGGTAACCCTTTGGTGCAGCACCGGTCGGGTTGGCTGCAAGGAAGAAAAAGACATGATTACCACAAATGCACTCACTATTGTTTACTTTATATCGTTATTGTTATAACCACATTTATGGTAGTGAATGAATGTGTTTCTTTTAGCTGCATGTGTGGATCAATATCTCAGTTTAATGTTGAATGATAGTGTAGACATAATGTCTTTAAGGTTGCTAAAGCTAAAAGTAGATCTTGGCTAGGATTAGTTTTCCTCTCTAACAGAAGCGCATGCAGTTTCACAGTGACCAGGGTCAGTGGTAAGGACGAGAGGGCCCCGGATGTAAAACTAAAATTTGAGTCTTATACTGTATCATAAAACAATCTCCTTGGTATGTCAGCTAAAACTGCCAAAATAACCCTCACAGTTAATTATAGTACCAAAACCCAAAGTTAATTTTATTATCAAACTCTTAAAAGCAATTTATTTAAAAAACAAAAAAACAAAATCACTCTAGAAATTATATTGAAATACTACACATTCATTTGTGCAGCAATCTTTAGAAATTAATGTTCTCTGTTAGGACTTTTAATAAATACAGGAGTTAGACATTTTTAAAGACTTTACCTTAAGTACATGGCTGTTACTTGTCTAAGAGATGGGGTGACCGTGCTTTCACTGTGGCCATTCCTAAACTGTGCAACAGTTTACCACCCGTCTCCATTACACTCTAATACAGACCTGGTACTTTTTAAATCTAAAGACTTTTTACATTAGCCTTTAGTTCCTGGTAGAGTCCTGCCACCTTTTAGTTGCCTTTGTTTTCTTTTTATTGCATTATGTATTTTATGTTTTTGATTTTTGGTATTTTGTGTAAAGAACTTTGAGGTGTATTTAAGTGCTATATAAATAACTGAACTGTAATTGTTCATAAATAAGTGAAGTGAAGAAGAATGACATTTGTAGGCTACAGATTTGTTAAATTGATAGGCAAAGCTGACAAGAGCACTGATGCTGCAATGATTCAGAGAGAAGTACTGTGAAAAGCTCACAGCTCATTACGTTTTACAGCACATTCATGAATGAACAGACCGTTTTCACAAAATCCACTAAACATACTAGCAGTATGAAGTATCACATAGTGTTTGAAAATAAATCTTTCAGGAATAAACAATTCTTCAATTGACTCAGCAGATCTTGCCAAAGGCTGTCCCCACTTCTGTTCCTAAAAGGTGCCATTCATTGGAGCATGTTCTGAAAGCATGTCAGTCCCCTGATATCATTTGGTTCCACTGACACATCCCTCTGTGTGTTTTTGTAGCAGTCATCAGTTCTGCTTAAGCCCTCGTTGTTGCATTTGTGAAATCCAAACACTCAAAGTTAACATTTGGAAATGAAAGCACTCCAGTTTCACTGGATTGGAGCAAAAACCTGTTGGATTTACAGCTGGGTTCTGATTATAATGTTGCCGATGGGAACATGTTCTGCTTCGAGTTGCATTTAATCTGGACAAAGTAACAATGACAACAGAAACCTGAATAACTGTGTTGAGTTGTAGGTCTGAATTATTTCTTCTGTGTTGATTGAATGGATATTAATGTTATTCAGCAGCTTTACAGTCCACTTTGTTGCTACTGCTCCTTTTACTTGGCCTCAAAGTGCTGAAACACTTGTACAGAGTTATG